CTTCGCTCGCTGCGCGTCTCTCTCTCTCTCGCCCTTCGTCGCCTCTACGAGGCGAGAGTTGTCGACCTCGTCGTACGGAGGCTTGGACGAGGAAAACCTGGAACGGGCCTAGAAATATGTCGTAAGAATATCCCGCGACCTCGACTTTCCACTTTCAGAGAGGGAGAGAGAGAGAGAGAATGGCGATCCGCCGGTGAAGGGTTAACGCTCGATAGCGCGTCGACTCTGATTAACGCTCGATATTTACTCAAGGTAGATAATAAAAGCTCCGAAAATTCCCGAATGAGTTCCGTCATTTATTGTTGCTACGAAAGGAACGTCATTTATATTTTTTGCAATTTTTTTTAAGGGTGAAATAAATCCCAAAAATTACCGCAATTAATTCATGATATTTATTTTGATACAGGGGTGGTCGGGGTACGTCGGGTTTTTGCCTCGTATTTTTGACTCTTTGTTTTAAGGGCGAGATCAACTTTCCGAGACGAGTCGCGGCGAAAGATAGCGAAAGTCGCGTTGCGCGGATATCGACTCGACGATAAAAGCACGATGGAGTGGAAACACCCACGGTTTAAACGTTGGTTGACTCTGACAGCTGTCGGATGCGTCCCGAAACGTCAGTCAGCTGTTCCTATCGCTCAGCTGGTGGCGGCTCCAGATATGCGAATTTCGAGGCCGGGGATAAATTCTTTTCGAATGAATTTCTTCGGTCACTAGGAAGTCCCATTTTACATAATCGATAGTAATCGGCGGATCATCAAAGCGGCGGCCGTAATCGACGGGAATATCAAAAGGGAAAGGAGTTTTCCGGCATATCGAAATGCAACACCTGATATCTCGGAGAGAATCTTCCCACGGAGTTTCGACATTCTCTCTCTCTTCTCGATGCAGGAAACGAGACGTTTCTTATCATTGCAACCGATTAGTAATTCTTAAGGCGTTGCGAGAGTGTATATATTTTCCTTTTGTCCTAGTCTCGTATTTTCTCGTCTTCGCGTTCTGAGTCCTTCTCCATATCGAATCACCCTTCGATCACCCCTCGGGGCAGATCCCGAGTTCCGCTCCTCCGGCCCTCCTCCACGTGGAAATAATTAATGAAGCCACGTCGGCTAATGTCGCGTACACGGCTGCACTCGCCGGCCGGCGGGGACCGACTGCGCCTGCGCGCCCCCGCACGTGCCCGCGCTACCTCGCGCCGGCGCACACTAGCGCGCGCCTGCATGTGCACACGCGACGGCTGGCGCCTCCACGTGCGCGAGGAGCACCGGCGCCCGCGGCGCAGTCGCGGGCGCTCAATCGACGGCTTCGCCCGTGTATCTAAGCGAGACTCCGAGCCACCCCCTANGGGGGCAGCGACGGCCGAGACCGGCAATATCAATGCCCGCTACGTCCGCGTGCACACCTCGCACCCCCCGAGTGCTGCCGAAAATCCCCGAAAGCACGCGAAACAAAGCCCCCCCCCCCCCGACGGCAGCCTCCGGGGGTCGTCTGCCGCAACTTTTACCTGGGGCATCCCTCTTTCGCCGATCCATTGTTGGAATTTATCGATACGGTCGTCCCTAGGAATTTTCAATTCTTGAGGGGGAGGTTCTTTATTTTTTTTTATCGGTTTTAAGGGATGGTGAAATTCTACGTCGATGGGATATGGATATGATGGGAAGTGGATATGGGGAAATTTTTATTTTTTCGGGATTTGATTATATTTAGGATTCTTCGGATATGGAGGGGTGGTCCAGGGAATCGCGTCTTTCTAGGTCGCGCGCACCTCTTAACGGCGCCTCGCGTCGCGACGCCTCTGACTTGTTGCTCGTGCCGCGACGAACGAAGACTCAGGGCGTCGCCGGATAATTAAGGCGACGCCGGAGAGCGTCGCCCTTCCGCCGCCCCCGGAGTTTCCCTTTCGCCGGGCTCGAGCACTCGCGCCCGTTCGGACGTCCCGTCGGTAAAGAGGGCTGCGACCTTTTCCCGCGACGGGGGAGACGCCCCGCCGCGGAAACCCGAGTCGAGCTTTCGCTTTCGTTCGCCCGCAAGGGGGGGCGCCGCGCATCCAAGGTCGCCCATGGTGACGGTCGCATACGTTGGAAATTGACGTTGAAATTCGCTCTTATTCGTTGTTCCGTCGTTCCAAATCGTCCAAAAGGAAAATTTGGTATCGTTAGGAATCGTGCAATGAANAATTATATAAATTTTTTTTTTCTCACGTTACATCGGCATTACCTCGGAACTCGCTGCCCGAAAAGTCGAGTGGACCGATTTCCTCGAGTCGTCTGGCCGTCTCGCCGACTGAGCGAAGGCGAGGAACGTAATTCCCGTAAAAGGCGTCGCGACGACTCCTCGGGATCCCCGCCGGGCGTCGCGGGGGCTCGAGCCTCGCGATTTAATTGACGCGGCGCCGGGAGGGTGCATTTCCGCTTCTCCTCTCTCCTTTAGCGGTCTCGACCCGCTGCGGTTCCGCCTCCCCTCTTGGCGCGTTTCCCTTTCGCCGAGTCGGAGGACCGGCCGCGATCTTTTCCCTCTTCCCCCGTCCCCCACCCACGGGGGAGCCGCAGTCGGGCTTTCGCTTTCGCCCGAGTTCAAGGGTGGAGGCTCGCTTAAGGTCTTCCTCGTCTTTGGCCCGGGCTTAAAGCCCGTTCTCGGCGCCGAGCGACGAAGAATTAATGCCTCGTTCGGTTTTATATCGCGGATTATACCGACATGGAAGAAAGTGAAATTCCCAAATTCGCGTTGAGTCACCCGACGGGATGAATTCTGCCCATTATTATGAAAGTGGTCTAAGTCATATATTTTTTGTTTCGACATTACATTGAATCAATTTCGTTTGAAACAATGTGGCGTGAAGTAACTGATAAACTCATTTTTTTTTTTTTTTCAATTTTGACTTAGACCACTTTCATAATTATTGGCACATTTAAGGTGACAGGAAAGTTCCGGCAGAGAGGTCCCTGATACTTTTCTACCGAGTCGGTACAACATTTGCGACGATTACTATTGAGTTTCGCGACCTTGTTTTCGAGAAAAAAAAATTTTCCATAAGGTTTCGCTAGAGTGCCATTTATGGATTGAAGCGGATTTATCCAGAATCCGGCACCCCACGCTTTAATTCGCCCCTGGGCAGGATCGAGGATTATTCTTTATATCTGGCAGGAAAGTATACAACAATGTCACATGACGCATCGGGCGAATCTACCTTGAACGAATTCGTGCCATCCCGATGACGTCACGGATACCTGGAAGCTGCAAAGCCTCGGAGATGACGAATGCGGATTCCGAATGTCTTAACCCGATGGCTGATTCGGCGATACCGGGAATTCCCTCCGTTTATCCTCGTGTTCCTCCCTCTCGCCATATTCCCGATTCGCAGACGAAATTCCTCGAACTTTCTTCACCTCGCCTCTTGATCGCTTATCCAGGCTAAATTATAAATCCGCCCTCAGAACACAAATTAAGATGTAACAAAAGCGTCAAAATGACACTTCTCTCCAAACAGGGTGCCCCGAATAATTTGACACCTGTACGCGTAATTACGAAAGTCCTAACGAAGGTCTTGAAATCTTTATATACATATTTCTTACCTTTATATACACGTATTTGGCGCCGATCTATTTTCTTGATTAAGTTAAAAAAATTGCCCAGGAAAATTTTTATCGATTTTCGATTATCCGGTCATCCCCTTACCCCCTAACCTCACTTTCCCCCCGTTCCACCTCGTAGTTTTCGGCCCTCGAATCAGGGCTACTCGCATTTACCTGGAGTCAAAGGACACCCCGGAATAATTCATCCGAGGGTCACTCCACCCGACGAGGAAGAAAAAGCCACCCTCGGCGGATTTCTCGAAGAGCGACCCTCCCCTGTGGACGACGTTCGTGACGTAGGGGGTCTCCGTGGCCCCGTTTCGCCCTCGTCGTCGAGTTCACGGCCAATAAAGTTTCCCCACCTCGGTTGTGTATTAAAGTTTCTCCTTCCGCCCCCTTTCGCCCCCGCAACCCTTCGTCTTCGAGCTGCTTTACCCCCCCGCGCCACGGGGGCTGCGAAGTGGTTCATCTCCCTCGGCTCTTGTCTTCCCCTCCGTGCCTCCCTCCCTTCCTCTGCACCCGTGAACTCGGCAGATCGATTCCTGCGAAAGTAAGAGTCCTCCTCTCGCTCCTGCGTGCCTTATTTTTCTTCTCGCTCCTTGCTTTTATTTTCGCGTGGTTGTGCATTCACGTGGAGATCGGACGCGGCATGATCTTGGCGCGGAACTCAGGCTCGCCAAGATCTTGGCGTGGAGCTCAGGCGCGCGATGTTCTTGGGGTAGAACTCAGTCGCGCGATAATTTTGATACGAAATTTAGGCGCGCGATGATCTTGGCGTGGAACTCATGCATAAGAGGATTTTAACCCAAGATTTAGGCGCGTAAAGATATCGGCATACAATTCAGGCGTACGATGATCTTGGGGCGGAACTCATGCATAAGAGGATTTTAACCCAAGATTTAGGCGCGTAAAGATATTGTCATGAAATTTAGGCGTACGATGATCTTGGGGTGGAACTCATGCATAAGAGGATTTTAACCCAAGATTTAGGCGCGTAAAGATATTGGCATGAAATTCAGGCGTACGATGATCTTGGGGTGGAACTCATGAGGATTTAACCCAAGATTTAGGCGCGTAAAGATATTGGCATGAAATTCAGGCGTACAATGATCTTGAGGTGGAACTCATGCATAAGAGGATTTTAATGCAAGATTTAGGAGCGTAAAGATATTGGCATAAAAATCAGGAGTACAATGATCTTGGGGTGGAACTCATGCATAAGAGGATTTTAACGCAAGATGAAGGCGCGTAAAGATATCGGCATGAAATTCAGGCGTACAATGATCTTGGGGTGGAACTCATGCATATGAGGATTTTAACCCAAGGTTTAGGCGCGTAAAGATATTGACATAAAATTCAGGCGTACGATGATATTGGCGCGAAACTCAAGCGAACGAGTCTCTAAGCGAGGGTGTTCTCCTCTGTCTACAGCGGCGGCGCCGGTGCCAAAGTGTTGGTCTCCAATCTGCCGACCTCGGCCACGTTCCAGGACATCGAGCTGCTCTTCTCCACCTACGGGCCCGTGCAGAACATCGAGACCATCAGCTTTCGGGACCCTAACACCCAATCGGTGATCCTCAGCTATGAGACGCAGGAACAAGCGCAACAGTACGTCCTTATCCTCTCTTATTTATCGTAAAAAATGAAAGCAATCATCTAAATTAAATTTTTTTCTTCGTGATATCGGTTAACGAGCTTGATGTTGGATAAGGCATGGTCAAGATGGTATCGAGAAGGACTTAAAAATGAATTAATATGGGTATTTATTGGAAATGGGGTAGGGTAGAAAATGATTACAAGTGCGTCGGATCTCTCCGGAATTGTTGATCGTTAACGAGAGGACGTCGATTTATTTTTTTTCCAGGATCGTGAACCAGTTTAATGGATACGAGTACGAAGGCAACCAGCTGAAGGTGGAAATGTCGGCTCCGGAAAGCCGACGAAGAGGGCGCAGCCAGCGCGGGGGAGTCCCCCTCTCGGGTCGGCAGACCGACTTCCCATTGCGCATCCTGGTGCAGTCGGACATGGTGGGCGCCATAATCGGGCGACAGGGCTCGACCATTCGACAGATCACTCAGGTGACCAGGGCCAGGGTCGACGTGCACAGGAAGGACAACGTAGGCTCCCTGGAAAAGGCCATTACCATCTATGGGAACCCGGAGAACTGCACCAACGCCTGCAAGAAGATCCTGGGGGTCATGCAAGAGGAGGCGACCACCACGAACAAAGGGTTTGCATCGGCCTATTCTGCGGAAAATCTGTCGCGCGAGGTTAGACCGGAGACCTCACGAGGATCTTTTAAATCCCTTAGCGAGATCACCCTGAAGATCCTGGCGCACAACAACCTGATCGGGCGCATCATCGGCAAGGGTGGCAACACCATCAAGAGGATCATGCAGGATACCAACACCAAAATCACCGTCAGTAGCATCAACGACATCAGCAGCTTCAACCTGGAGCGCATCATCACTGTGAAGGGCACCATCGAGAACATGAGCAAGGCCGAAGCCATGATCTCCAACAAACTACGCCAGAGCTATGAAAATGATCTTCAGGCCATGGCGGTAAGACGCTAACGAACTATATCACGGAGCTGGGTAACTACTTCAATTTGAAATGGGTATCTAAAATGTAAATAGATTTTAAACCATTGAACGAAACTTGTTACCCAGCTCTGCTATTTAGGTTGCCGGTTGACCAGGGTTACTTAAAAGCTCCCTTGCCCATTGCATTACTCTGGGGTACGGATCCGTATTAAAAGTGTCCCGTTTCAGCCCCAAAGTATGATGTTCCCTGGTCTGCATCCAATGGCGATGATGTCCACTGCCGGGATGGGCTACAGCTCGCGAGGACCTGGACTATACGGCTCGGGTCCTGCTCCTTATCCTTATCAAGGCAGCTTGCCGACTCAACAGGGAGTCACTGCTGGCGACACTCAAGAGACTACCTTCTTGTACATTCCCAACAACAGCGTTGGCGCCATCATCGGCACCAAGGGGTCGCACATCAGGAACATCATCAGGTTCTCCGGCGCCAACGTGAAGATCGCTCCTCTGGAACAGGACCGAGCAGCCGATCAGCAGACCGAGAGAAAAGTTACCATCGTGGGCTCGCCTGAGTCCCAATGGAAGGTACCCATCGACCGATTATCTTTTTTTTTTTTTCACACGTACAACGTAATATCTTGGGAATTTTTTTTCCTTTCATCCCTTTCTAAATGGTTGAACGTTCAGTCGGTATTATTTGTGGAATTTTCGAGATATTTCAAAGTGACGTTAGCTTGGTATATGGAAAATATTAAAGAACCGGAGGGATCGATATATTAAATCTAGGTCTTCAAAGTATAAGACCGTAATTCCAGCTTTCATACTTTGGAGCCTCGGTGGTCCCGTGGATAAAACCACCGACTAAGTTAGGGTTCGAATCCCCTCAACTCCCAAAGAATTTTTCTTCCTTCTTCTCCATGCAGTTCGACTCCTGACCTCTCCTTCTTTGCCTTCACCAAATCCTGTGACATTTGGGAGGGTGTCTTGCATCTTAGGCATCAGCTTGATAAACACAGGAAGATTAAACTCTCCAGGGTCCCGTGCTGGCCGCAACGAAAGCCTTGGCGAGACCTCAGCTCCGTTACCCTTGAACAATTTTTTAGCCCCTGAAATTATATGCAGTGTATCTATTCTCATCGTTATAAATTAATTTCAACACTCTGGGATGTTCAAGCGACCCTTTGTCTCGACTTTCAGGCGCAATATTTGATCTTCGAGAAGATGCGCGAAGAGGGCTTCGTCGCCGGCACGGAAGACGTGAGATTAACCGTCGAGATTTTGGTGCCAAGCGCTCAGGTCGGCCGGATAATCGGAAAAGGCGGACAAAACGTAAGAGAGCTTCAACGCGTGACCGGAAGTATCATAAAGCTTTCGGAGCAACAAGCCACGCCGCCAGCTGCCGACGAGGAGACAACGGTCCACATCATTGGGCCCTTCTTCTCCGTTCAGGTGAAATTTCCCGTTTTCACCTTGCTCGAAATGAAATAGCTTAATAATTCTTTACGTGGCTTGGAGTAACATAAATTCTTGATATAAATTTCTGATCGGTATTAATGTCGCATTTCGTTGTCCAGTCGGCGCAAAGGAGGATCCGGTCGATGATCCTGCCGTCAGGGGCCCCAGGAAGTGGAACGGGAGGCATAGGCTCTCGCGCTGGACGTGGTAGCAGCCAAGAAGGTGGATCCCGTTCCCGGCGCGACGGCAGCGCCACCTCGCAGCAGGGCGCCGGCTCGTCGCAGCAGGACTCGGCGGGACAGCAGAGCTCGTCCTCGAGCCAAGGCCAGCAGCAGCCGTCGCAGCAGCAGCAACAACAGCAGCAGCCACCACAGCCGCAGCAGCAGACACAGTAACGTTGATGAAACTCACCTGACGCCAACCGACGCCTCACAGAATCCGTTTTATTCGGCCGGGGTGGCCGCTCGTAGCTCTGAAACACTCGTCGAGGTTAGGGCGCATCTGCGGATCCATCGCGCGAACCAGGAACCCATCGGTTTCCCTCCATCGACTCCGAACGCGAGGATCAGGCCCTAGAACCACGGAGGATCGGCTCTCCCTAGAGCGCTGGGTTCACGTCCGAGGAGGACTTCCGTTCGGTCCAGCCGGACACTCGAGGGTGTCGCTAAAACGACCTCCGGCAACGTAGCGAGCTTCGACATTGTTCCGAATTTGTTAATTGTAATTTTTTGGGCAAAGGGCAAGGAAAAAGCCCCTAGAGATGTTTCGCCGAAGCGGACGCCTTCCAGAGCCTGCGGGTCGTTGGAGTGACGTCCTCGAGGTCGCGCTCGGCCGGGACTCTAGAATCAGGGTGTCTAGGTTGTAAGAGGTTTAGGATCGCGCTCGAAATTGTAAGAATCGGACGGAAGTCGGCGCGCGTCTCCTGCGACGTCGCTCCGCGGGGATCCGCGGGCGTCGGCGTCGGTCTACCGCACCGGAGGAACGTTCCTCTCGTGCCACGGCGCCCTCGTAGGGACCCGAGCTTTTCCGTGTCTGCGACCACGGAGGTGCGCTCGGACGATCGGTTTCACGGCTTGGCGAATCCACCCCGCACTGACATAAACGATGGAAAGGATGAAACCACACACACACAACCTTATTACCTCATTGATTACGATAAAAGATTTAAATACGATAAACAAACGGGAAATAACGATGGAGGAAGATAGGAGGAGCGAGACGAGAAATAGTAAACCAACTAATCTAACAAGAGCTACCTAATATTAAAGTTATAATAATATACAGAGAGAAAGAGAGAGCGAGCGAGCGAGAGAGAGAGAAAGAGAGAAAGAGCGAGAGAAAGATGAGAGTTAAGAGTAACGATTACATTACCTTACGTCTGTTACTACTACGGATATGCTATCATTACTACTATTACTACGAGGAAGCAGATGCTAAGCTAGTGCTACTACTACATTGCCGAGAGAGAGAGAGAGAGAGCGGTCTCTTTTGTATTAATTGTAGATGCAGTTTGTAAAATCGATGAAACTTGGAACAGAGACACGGGGTACATCCTCGGGACCGGGGAAGCGTCCTCGGAGCGAAGGACTCTACCATGGCAGTCGAAGACGTACTCGAGGGCGCGTCCAAGCACAGGGAGACGCTGGGAATCATGATCGAGACCTAGAGGAACACCTTCGAGGTGACGTGAACCGCCGTCGCGCAACGTAATACCAAAGAGGAGAGTTTTCATGTTGCACTAAGCGAAGTATGGAGGAGGAAAGTCTGCAGGGGGTCGAGCCCCGAGACTGGCGTCTCCACAGAAGTTCCTTGCAAGAGCCGCGACGGGACCAGGAGTCTCCTTCGAGGGTGAGGTCGACCCTGGCACTCCAAGTTCGACGAAGCCAGAAGGAACCGGCAGGATGCTTCACCGGAGGAGATGAACCGCGTCCCGCGGTGTGTACTCGTGCCGGAAAGAGAGGACAGATATCCGTCAAGTGGAAAACGAAGAATCGGAAGGGGAGGAGGAAGAGCAGGACACAGGATATATACGCATACCGGGCACCCAGGAGTTCCGGCCGCAGAACCGACACCTCCCAGGTGCGCTATGTCCACCTCCGTCCGGCGAGGCGGCGGGTGGAAAGAGGAGCCACAAAACGTTTTTCAGGGATTTTTATTTTACCATGGATGTAATAGTGTGTGAGTGTGCGTGTGTTGAATAATACTATTAATTAATAAGTAATTATAATTACTGATTAAGATGGTAGAGAGGCAAGGATACAAGAGTATTTAAGGTGTCTCCGAGGCTGCCGGGAGCGGATCTGTCAGTCAGGAGACACGTGGACGGCCCCTGATGCGCGACCAGGTTCCACTTCCGGTCCCAAGAGTTCCCACCCCCAAGTGGACACGCCGATGGCTCGAGGAGGATGCGAGCTGCGATATCGAGCAGCGCTCCTGGTCCGGAAAAGACCGATCCAGGAATTTTGTAGGGTGACCGTTCCCACGACACGAGCCTGGCGAATCGACGTCGCCCCGAGGAGGATGCCGATGAACCTCGGGCACCGATGGGGAACGGGCGCGCGGGTGGCCTCCAAAACCGGTGACAAAAGAAAAATTGAAATTGCGTCGAACTAAATGGGACAACTCGAAGACAGTTGCCGCCCGGGCGAGCCCGCCCAGGGTGGTCTTTGGCTGGCGACCAAAACTAACCAAATACATCGGACTGACGAACCATGGGGCCGCGACCTCAGCGGAGCGGCCGCAAGTTTAACCCTTCACTCGTACCGTGAGGCTCCTCGCGAGTTCGCACCTCGGCGTCACTTCCGGCCCCGGAAAGCCGGAAGCGACGCGGCCGAATCATTCTCGGCACGAATATGCGCTTAGTACAAAGATATGGGAGTTTAACGGGGAAAGGAAAACTAGAAAGAGGAGAGTAGAAGAAGAGGAAAGGATGATTTCAGGGTCTCTCGCGAAGGACGCGGACGCGAATATCGACTCGAGCTGGTTGCTGAAGGAGAAGCCGAAGAGGAGCCCGGAGGTCGCTTCCAGAACGGAAGCACTTCCGGCGTTCCGGAAGAGAGGACACCGCGACGTCGGGCGGCACCAGAGCCCCCCTCGGACGAGACGAAGCGGATGCTGAAGAGCGGGTCCGTCGTCAGCGGAGGCCGGGAAGCGGTGGAGATTATGAGGGAGGGTGGGGGGGGGGAGGAAAAAAAAAAGTAAATGAAGAAACAAAGATGAAGATATAAGTTTATTTTTGATACATTGTTGGGGAGACCTAAGTGAGGATCCTTCTTTTTTCCTTTTTTTTGTTAGATGTTTTTAATAACTTAATGAATTTTAAAGATATCGGAGGAGGGTCGGAGGAGAGGAAGGACGCGGGGCGGAGCGCGATGGAGGTGAAGGATGAGGGAAGGCCACGAGGTAGGCGAAGAAGAGCGACGGAGACGCTTTTAACGAAGATTTGGGAAGCAGTCTGCGAGGTGGACGAGATCGTGCCGTGGTCCACGTGGTGTCTGACAGCTTCGACCACGTGATGTTTGACTGCCGCGACCAGGCGGCATTTTCCATCTTCAACCACGTGGGGTTTGACAGCTCCAACCACGTGGCCGTGGCAGAAGAGGACGGCATTGGATCGGAGGGTGGAAGAGAGAGACGGCACATAGCCTTTTGCACTATGTGGGCGAGCGAGGGAGATTTTAGTCGGATAAATTGTATAATATATTTAATATATTTGGAGGCGCGAGGAGTAGGCGGTCGGGCGGGCGGGCCTTTAGGTCGCTGTCGGGACGCGACGGACCCGGCGGGCTCGCAGTTTTATGCGACGCGCTCGACCCCTCGTTTCCGGGGAGCGGCCTCCAGAGCGCCTACTTCCGGTTATTTATCGAAGCGTAAAGTATTTAAGCGGCACCGAAAGAGCTAAGAGAGAGGTTATCGGGCGCTATCAGCAGCAAGCCAGAGACAAGTGCCGAGGAAGGAGGCACCACACCTCCAAGACAGTCACCGAGAACGCACACCTGAACCGACCGCTTCAGATATATGCATACACGTATCACGACAGTTCGGACCTGCTCTCGCACTGGGATGAGACGACACGCGCAGGATGCCGAAGAACTCCCACAAAGGCACGTCCAAATTATCCGAACACTCACGCAACGGTCACGCATCGCTCCTTTCTTTCCAAGAATCGAGCGCGCGGGATCAGCTGATGGCTCCGGACGACGAGATTCCTGGACTCTTCCCTGGGATAAAGGACCATCCCCGGCGTCGGGTCTCATCAGCACCGCGCGTCAACCCTTGCCGAGCTCGTGTCTCGCCGAAACGAGAGAAAACTAGAGAAAATGCCAAAAAAAGAATGACGTACGAAGGTGAATGACGAAAAACCCCAGTGACTTGTAACGCGAACTCGAAAATGTTAACCAGAGATCAGGTGACGGCAGGATAGGGAAGCTGGGAGAAGTCGAAGAATCCGACCCAGACATCGCCGATCGACTCAGTTCTCGGACCATCATCAGCCCGGGAAAGCTCGCCGAAGTTTCCGGGCTTTCCTCGGCGTCTGCTCGCGCTTCTTCAGGGTCTCCACATGGGAACCACCAGCTACATCCTGGGCGGAGGGTCGAGACATCGGCCCTGCCACTATCGCATGCACACCGCAAGAAACACACACACACACACCGGCTCGCTGGAAGGAGACAAATTGTACAAATCAGAATTTAATGGAGGGAGGTCGAGAGGGAATGGGTTAAGTCGCGAAGGTATACTAGAGGGCGATTGAGACGGACGGAGGGAGAGATCATAGAAATTATTAATATAATAACTTAAAGAGTTTTAACGTTATAAATTATAGTTGGTGATGATAATGGTATAACGACGACTTGGAGAGCTCCAGAGAGAGGTGCGGTCGTCGCTGCGAGGCCGGCCGTGAGAAATGTACAAAATCTAATCGCTAAATCTAAATGTTAGTAACTATTAATATTTAATCGTCTTAGGCGTGTGAAGTGTGTACCAGTGAAGAAGATAATTAGAGGGAAGGGGAGCTCTCACCGTGCTGGCGAGCGTATTTGCAGGCAAGTCAGGGCTGGACAGTGGTGGCGACTTCGTTTTATTACTCAAGTTCCAACCAACTAGGTTCGTTGCCATTATTTCTGGAAGATCAATCACTGACGTACAAATTGACTAGCACCGGCCACGACAAGGATCGAGAAATCGAGAACAGAGGAGAGGGCGAAGTACCACGAAGGTATCCATTAGAGGAGACACGAAGATGTGCCAGGAAGCGTCTAACGCGTAACAGCTACGCGATTCGCGCCCAAATCAGGAGAGATCAGTGGTGACCACAGGATTGGATCCCTGGAGCGATCCGCCAGGACCATTTGTCGATTCGACCAGTCCACGATCAGTTGGGAAGCCACACACCCGCACCCTAAGTTTGGCAGACCGCACACCCGTACACGAAACCGCAGACGAAGAGACCGCACAGTCTCTTCGGCATCTCCAGCATCGCCAGGGACCAGCGACCTTGCCTCTCCCTCGACGTGCCTTGGTGGGCACCCCAAGATCCGCCAAGTATCCCGAAGAAAAAACCACACACTCGATGAACGTCGCATCCCCCACATGGACCACACCATGGTGCCGCTTCAAAGCGCACCTCTGACCTAAGTATGAAGTTTTTCGCAGCGAACAGCTACGTCAGGTCGACGTTTCAACCGGGTCTTGGGTGGTCGTCGAGGGAACAATGGATACCAGGTCGCCTGGGGGTCCCAGACCCTATCAAGATAAATCTCCACAGCATCCTTCCGCAATGGTCGTTCAGTCTGAACCGGATCCCTGATCGACGAATCCATGGGAAGCGAGAGAAAGGAGGAGATCGAGTCACTCAGTCGCAGTTAACCGATAATAGTGATATGTCTGTATCTGTATAAAGTATGTACCGAGAGTCTAGAGAGGCGAATACGCCTCGCGATGGGAAAGGAGGTCGGAAGAAGAGCGTCGAGGTCGCCGAGCCTCGAGCACCAGCAACGCGAACTTCTGTCCGACTTTGCCGTTTTGCTACCGGCCACTGGGATGAACGATAGCATGGAAACTCTGTCTACCTTCGCTAGCACTACGGGCTACCGGACGAGAACAAAACTAATAATAGTTGATACGTAGTAACGATAGAAATAGTGGAGCCGATGGCGACTCGGCCGGGAATTATTACGTACAGTTTAAACGCGCCACGCGCTCACGTATCGTAGGTAAAGGATAGGCGAAGACGGATAGATTATTTTGGGCTTTAGTATTAGTATTTCGGGGAGTACGCCGAGGGGATCCCGCGGGATCCGGGAGCTTGAAGGATACCCTGATGAGAGTTCTTCGACCTCCTGACATCTCCACCCGGTGGGCTGGTCACTTTGCGACCATCGGGTACCTCCACCCTGACCAGCAGAAAGTGTCAGAAGACCGTCTTTGGGTCTGCGAGTTCCCTGGGGTCCATCCGCTGGTACCTTGACCCTCTTTATGAAAGCTGATCGCGGTTCCAGTGGATGAACTCCCAGGGTGGTTTCCAGCAGGCTGAGAGGTGGTCTCTCTTCCTGGCTCCTCCAACCCGGACCCGGATCCGCGGAACTCCCAGCATGGCGGAGTGTCTTTGGGCCTTATTGTACACAGTTGGGCATTGTTGTTATGTGAGAGGGATAATCGGCGAGAGTGATAGAGATCGCCGGAGAGATAGATAATATATCAGACATTGGGTCAGCCAGGTGTGCGAGAGGCGAGCGAGTGCGAGTGCGACAGACCTAGCCTAGACACAGCGAGAAAGAGGGAGAGAATGCGAGGGCGAATCTATGAAACAGAGCGAGAGGGCACTATTATTACACACTATGATCTACAGGATTGGAGAGAAAGAGAGGGAGGAGCCGAAGCTAGTGATACGATAGGTGTTGGCGGAGTCTTAGTATATTATCTATTATTACCTAATTGTTGCCAATTATGGGCATTACGACGGAGCTCTGGGAGAGTCTGGGAGAGAACAAAGGAGAGCGAATGAGAGTCTGGGTCGGAGCGAAAGATTTTGCGAAAGAGTGTGTGTGTCGGATCTAGAGGACCGGGATTAATGACGTAACTTATTAATACGAAGCCGCCCATATACACACGCACACACCGTAGGCATCCCACCCCTTACGTTCCCCATGTACATACCCTGCGGAAATGGTCTTTTATATTACCCCCGTCCCCATGCCCTCCCCGGGAATTTTGACGTCCGGGTCGACATGGCTCTGCCCGTTGACACTTATCCGGTAATACGTTGATATATTGTTACGCTTACGCGTATCCGCATGTACATAACGCACACAGGAAACGCGCGCCACCCCCTACCACACACGGCTGTACTTTTGGAGCGCCGCCATGGGGTCGACTCTGCACCCTTTGAACAGGACTTCCGGCAACCATGATTACGACCCAGTTAAGATTTCTCCACACTGCCAATTAGGTGTCGTTGTAGAATTATTTGTACCCAGGATGGACCGCTCAAGGGTTGCAGAGTCGACGATCGGTGGAGGCGCCATGGAATCCTTCGAGGCCTTAATGGGGTTGAATGGCTGACCTTGCATGGGCTTTTAAATCGACGCCATGGACTCTTTTGGACTCTTCGACGATTACGGGCACGCATGGGCATTCATACTTCTCACCTCGTTCGAGAATGTTATATATATATTCGTTTATATACATATATATATGTATACACCTACATACCATATATATTGTATACCGGATTTATACGCGCTAGGCCCTTAGGAGCGAGGCCAGCCGGTGCGGCAATTAATACTAAAACCCAAAATATATATATACTTGCTTTTCGTCGGATTATGGGATTTACGGGAAGCACGGATACGCTTAGGTCGGATCGGCGGGAACTTAACATCGGGATCATGCGAACGATGTGCGTGGAGATTAGGCGAGAGCGCGTTCACTACCTCAGGAGTTCAAGTTTCGAGGGGAATATGGAGGAGGCGACGGTAAACGAGAGAGAAAAGAGAAAATTCGGGAAAACAAAAAAAGAGGAAAATCTCCAGGGGAGGAGTGGGTGGGTCGATTGGCTCGGATGCTGGGAGAGAGATAATTACATCTTGAAGCGTGGGATAAATGTTAATTGCATTGAAGCACCAAAATTCCGCGAATTTTTGTCCT